TTCCTTTTTTCCTATTTTCCCCTTTTTATCAGCTTTCAGACTTGCATTTATGGAAAATTTTATGGATCACTTTCATGTAGAACTCACTGGGATGCTAATATGTTTGTGTTAATGATTCTGCTATATTACGTAGCTGAAGCAAGTGGCAATTTCACTAATGCTTACGCAGTTAATGGTCTCAGCATACTCCATATGACAGGCATTTGTAGGCACCCAGTTATGCCTAGTGATGGTCTCTAAAGTCAAGTGCCTGTTGTGCAGAAACAGTTCGGTTCTAAAAGTCTGAACATACAAACACTCCATCAGTGTTGATGGAGATCTTCTAAATTGGGCTGTGAGCTTATCATTCAATTCTCAAAATAAATGAAATAATTGTACAGCAGCTATTAAATGATCATTGTGTAATAACACTCATAACACCCCTGGTGACATGCTGCAAAGCATCATGTGGCTCTGTTCTACACTCTGTGTAGTGTTCTAATGAGTTCTCCCAGCATTGCACCACACTGCGTTGTTTTGCATTGTCTTGTCTAATTTCCCCACTGATACTGAAGGGCTCAGTAAGGAGCCAGAATCTATAGTCATCGCTCGTTTTTTGGAGGGGGGAGGGGGTTGGTTTTTGTTGCGTTGTTGTTGTTTTTAATCTAGTAAGAGACAGGAACGCAAACAGCACCCCCACTCTGTTTAATGACTTGATAGGATGATAAAACACCTCACTTGCATACCTGTCCAACACAATAGCTGCAAATCTGTCTTGATTAGCAAGGTCAAATTTGTGAATCTCTAAAGATTTATCTTCTTGTTGCATGTTTGTTTATGATAACCGTTAACAGAAAAATTCTGCTTTTTGTAGTTTCAGTCATTTCATAAAGGTCAGTAGCTTTTGAAATAATTAATTAGCATTGCTTTTGCTTTTAATGCAATAATGGTAGCGTGTAAAGAAAGAATTCAGTGCATCTACAAGTTGATGTTGGAGGAAAACAAAAATGGCAAGAAGGTTGAACAGCATCTTCAATCAGACGTGGGGTTGTGGCTTAATTCAACTATAAATAATTAACCATCTTCCAGTTACACACGCAGACTTAATGATTTTATGCCTTAATTAATCACAGGAGAACGTTCCATTGTTGGTGCATTTAGTTGCTGCTGAACTACTGGAATGAGACAATAGGCAGCATTAATTAATACCAGATATCACTGGTCACATTTGCTCTTTGCAACTCTGGAAACAAACCCTGTCCAAAGACAATTTGCTGACATTACACAATCAAGATTTATGATGCCCCAGCTTAAAACTAGTTTGTTAATGATGCAGAACAGATCCCCAAACACAGGCCTGTAAAATGCATATGCAAAGCACCAACTGCTGTCAATTGATCAATGTCAGACAACAATTATTTAAATTTACAGAAGTGATATGCTTTTTCTCCATCATCCTCATTTCCTACATCCAATTTGCACAACAGTCTTTGGCTTCCTGGGTCTTTATCCAAGCGCTCCAATTTTAAATCTGATTTTGAAAGGTCAAAGCTAAATATTTTCTCGGGGAAGGCGCTTCATAAAAGCACGCGAGCGCTAAATGACAAGGTCCCATAACTCAATGAGAAGATACCCTCTGACACCATGCAATTAGTCTCAATAGTATGAAACCACTGGGCGTGTAAACAAATTTAATACATAAATCTCTTGGTCTCAGATTTCTAAAAGGAACCTTGTTAATTAAACCATCATGGTCAATGAATGTGCAAGGGGTGTAAAATTAATTTTTATGTGAACTTGCTATTACAGGATTAAGAAGCTAGTCCATTATAACAGCATCTCATTTGAAAAGGGATTTAGCTGGAGGTATTTCATAGTTCAGTGTAATCATCGTTTGACCTCCAGAAAGGTTTGGGTTATTTCTACCTATTGCTTCATTGATAAAGACTAATTATGGAGTAATGTCACAGTATCAAAGGGGTCCGATTGAAAACAGAAGTAGTCCAAAGTCTGTTGTTCAATCTGAATACATTAAAAAAGGAATAAAATATGATGGTAACTGTAAATTTGTAACAACACCAAATAAGAATAAACAGTTGCCCAGAATTCATGGGTGGGTGCACAGATGATGTGAACCAGTGGCTTGGGGGTGTTACAGTATTTTAATCCCTTTCACTCTGAACAATTCACAAAAAGCTGCAACCACGCAATTTCAAAAGCACTTTGCTATGACTGACATGTTTCTGTGATCCATATATTTATTGCATACATTATTTACTGTATTCTGTTACTTTTGTTTTTTACAGTATGGAAGCATATCTACATTAATATTGCAATTAATGTTGACCAAACTGCAATATTATACAAATCAAAAGATTCTCCTAAAGTGCAAGAAACTACTGTGTATTAAGTCACCTGGTGTTTTTAAGCTAGGCCTGCTTTACACACAAACATGTGCATAGGTCTACAGTATTGTTACTGTAAAGTAATTTAATGCTCAGTAATGACCACTGAAATTTCGTGATATTAGTGCAAATAACTCGTTTAATTTCATCGTTCAATCATTTATTTTTGAGATAAAAATAAAAACAACACAAATGAACTAACATATTTAACTAAAAATACAAAGTAAATTGATTTAGGCCAACAATCAATATTATCAAAATGTCTTAGCACAGGCAAGAGTAAGTAATGTAGATGCTTACTAAGTTTGGGATTTCTGCATGAATGTGAGGGACTTGTCTTAACAGAGTGTTGTTTTTGTATTGCGATGAAAGACATCTTGATTCATATCAATAACTAATAACTTTCATAATATAACTGAAACTCAAAAACGTAACATTTATAAAAAAAATTTTTAAAAAAACATTAAAAACTGGAAATTAATTGAAAGTGATTGAAATTAAATACTACAGTCATTTGAAAAAGAACATTTTCAAAGGACTTTATGAAGTCCTCACCAATACCGGAGCTATAGGAATTAAGAGGAGCAACCAGGTACTGCTAATCAAAGGCATCTGATTAACTGATGGTCAGTAAGTGTGACTGCCTCTATAAAAGAATACATTTTGGCTGTTTATTGGTTTATTCAGGTGTACGTTAACACAATGCCACAGTCTGCATGTCCCAGCAAATTCAAAGTCAAACCATTCAATGTTCAAAGAAAATAAAAAAAAAAAACATACCAAGACCTCAGTGAGCATGTTAAATGTTGAAGTTAATGACAGCACCATTAGAAAAAAAAACTGAGCATGTATGTTTTGGAAAGATTGACAGATAAGACTTGAGTAGATATGTTTGACCACAATGCAGAGAGAACCAGAGAACCATGTCTGGTAAACCAAACATAGTATATCAGCACAAATGGTAAATGGACTGGTTCTTATATAGGGCTTTTCTACTCTATCTGAGCACTCATAGCACTTTATACAGCTAATTAATTCACCCAGTCACACAAGCACTTTTTTATAAGCTGTTAAGTGCTCACTATCTAATATTCACACACATTCACACTCTGATGGATGCATCGGAGAGCAACATGGGGATAGTATCTTGCCCAAGGATATTTGGCATGCAGACTGGAGGAGCCTGGGATCGAACCATCAACCTTCTGGTTAGTAGCTGACCTGTTCTACCACCCCAAACAACCCACAGCCAAACAACCCATACCAACTGTCAAGGGGGGTGGAGGGGTGATGATTTGGGCGACTTGCTGTCACTGAGCTGAACTCCTCTGCATTTCAAAGGACTGCACAGACTCCTTTGAAAACTTTTTTCTAATGAGCTATCACGTGTACATAATAAAAACTGCTATACTGGCTAAAGTTAGTACAACAAATGAATATAGTGGTCTATTAGCTTTTGGTAGTGTTGTGTATGGAAAATGAAAAATGACAGAGAGATTGCCTTTTCTTACACAGTACATTGAAACATTTATAGTCAAGAAAAGTAGGACAATAATAGCTCATAACCATATGTCAAACAATAGTCAAACTAATTCTTTCAATCAAAATACCCCTCTAATTTAAATCAAATCAAGTCCACACAGGTTGCCTGAAAACAATGAGGCAGAGAAGAAAGAGAAGTGTAAGCTGCAGGTGATGAATTAAACACAAACACACACAGACACTTACATGCATTAAGCGATGAAAGACTTTCCCAAGGCTCCAAATTAAAGCTGATGGCCATAGAAACCTTGTAATCACTTGTGGTGCCAATTTGCAGCAGAGACGAAGGGGAGCAGAGGAGCAGATGTGTGCCAGAATACCTTAGGATGATTTCTTAATAGCGTTATAAATCCATTCATGCATCACAGGCATACCAACACCACTGACAGCCTGCTGCTAGACTAGACACCACAGGCCTTTAAGCACCTGCTACACAAACACAAGTTATCTGGCCCACACATTTCTCTTTCTTACAGTTTATACTGGCGCAAGAGGCAACAATTAAGAGTGTTATTTGGTGTTGTAGCTCAATTCTGCCTTATGGACAATTATGAAGACTCTGGTGCTTAACAGAGTTTGCAACAACAAAGCCATGAAACTGCTGATACTATGTAATCTTCCTTTCACTTATGTTTAGCCTTTTGCAGTTCCTTACCTCCACAGGGGCTTAGCCAGACTGCTCAGCTAGTTGTAGCTCACAGCTGTGGCCATGCACACTCTCATTTAATTACAGGAGCACTTCTGTATGACTGCGCAGTCAGCAGTTCACTCCTCAGTTATTGTAAAAGGTAGGCAAACTGAGCCCCAGAGTTCCCTTCATTAGCACTTGCTTGTTGCTGGTGTCTCTTGCGCTAGTACGTGCCACCCCCTGCCAGTGACGTGAAGTACTGGATACTGCCCCTGATTACTGATCAAGGTAGAACATTTGAAAATTTTAGATAGTCGGATAAAAGATGAAAGCTCAAGCAGAGGACAATTTTGGAGGATTTTGGCAAGAACGCATTTCATAAATTGCAGAATAATGTCAAGATTATTGACAATATCTTCAGTATGTTTCTTCTGCTCTTGTTCACTTCAAAACATTTCCTGCAAAAGTAAAGTGACTCTTAGACACAGAATGTTCGCTACAGAATTAATAATAAGTAGGTGAGCCTGTCATTTTGTATCAGGTTGTGCAAACAAACGTCAGTGTACCTGTTCCAGATCCTTCTCCTCATTAATGTTAAAATCAAGTCCCTGTTTTGCTCCCTGGGCCTGCAGCCAACAACATTTCACATATTTTAGTTAAACAGGCTTGTACACAATGGGATTCTATTAATACTGACATGACATGCAGTAAGACAGTTGGCATACAATGAAATCTCCTTTAACTGTGTGAAAGCAGTTACTCCAAAGTGCTCTTTAAAGACCTAGACTTTTGCATTACAGAACTACAGTATGCTTTAAAATCATTTGTTATCCATTCTAAGTAATATTTTTTTTTTATCATTAACCAAATTTTAGGGAGCTATTTTACTTTCTATTTAGAAATGTACAACATAATCTATTTTATTAATCTTCTGAATTAAAAAAATATTAACAATTTTCTACCTTTTCACCTATAATAATTTGCTATTGTCTTCTATGGTGTGTGTGTCATGTTAGATTAATAAAAAGGCGGCTCTAGCTCATGTGACAATGAGAAACAATATGAGAGACTAAATAAGATACAGAGCAAACAGCATGTGCCATGACCTTGGTGTAACGTACAGCTTTGTTTGTTGTGGCGCTTACTCTGTCACAAAACCCTGTGATATTTCTGTTTACCTTTGCTGAACCAGATAAGGTGACAAAAGCTGTACTAAGAAGAGGAATTTTTCACTTAAGAAAAAAAAATATTTTTCTCCTCTGTTTAATCTGTCCCCATATCCCTAACCTTAGAGGGTTTAAACAGCATGTGTTTGTATGTGATGTTTTGAAAAGAATTTGTCTGATAAGGCTATTTTATGCAGAGAGGCCTACCTTTGAGTAGACTTCCCTCTCTCCAGAGGTCTGCTGAGCAAACAGAATGGCATCGTGAACAGAAAGAAAGAGATTACTGCGGGCAATATTGCCATCTTCAAACGCTCCCCCGGCCTCCAGTTCTTCATACACCTGGGCTGCAAGTAAGGCAACTAATATTATACAGGGACAAAGACATTGTTAAACGTAGTGATTTTGCCTAACGCGCCTGTAGTATTGTAATTACAATTCTCTAAGGCAGGAAACAAGAGAAAATTCGCAGCTTTAAAGTAATCAAGCATGATAAACTACAGTCACTGTGGATCTTCCCTTTATCTCGCTGGGAAATTGAGGTTACCTGCACAAAATGATAAGCAATGTCTAACTTGTTTTCCTCTGACAGAGCACTTCACAGAGCTAATGGACTCAGTGCTTTATGAATGATTAGGTCTTTGTTGCCATGCCAACTGTACAGATGAGCCAACAGGTGTGAACAAATGCAGGTAGTTTAAGATTTTACCTTGAACGTTAGCCAGGTACAGTTTAATGCCCAGCGTCGTGTAGCCCGAGTTCATCTGCGTGGAAAATGAAAGAAAGAAAACTTGTCATGGATATGCACATACATGAACTTACAACGAAATACAATTATTAATGCTCTCATAAAAAGGCTCAGCTGAACAGCATCTGGCTAACTGAAAATGAAATATTTGAGAAAAAAGTAAGGCATCCTTTCATGATTCAAAAATGTGTTCAACACAGGTTAGAAGCTCTCTTTTTCTATTTGAACATAACTGCCTCAGTCTCTTTGATATGGGAATATCAAAATGAGAAATTCTCTGAAATTATAATTTGTGTTAATTAACTTAGCTGTTAGACATCCATTTTATATTATTAAACATAATAAAACCCCTTTCAAAAAAACATTTGCTGCCAATTTAAACTATTTTCCAATCTAAAATAACTGCATCTTTAGTCTTTTATGGTTACTTTCTGCACCATAAAACAAAATGTAAAACATTTAGTGTACTTATATTACATTACATTAATCCTATATTATATTAATCCTGACTCTGTTAGCACAGGAGAGAACTTTATAACCTTTATCAATGCTTTTATGCCCATCAGGTCTATGAAGCAGACCCCCGCCATGTCGAGGATTAGAGTGTGGAAGGGCACTGGCGTGGGCTCCAGGGTGAGAACAGGGGGGCTGGATGGCTCTTGGTCAGGTAACTGCTCGCCAAGTTCAATGTCATTACAATGGAAGTTGACATAGCTTGTAGGAAGTCCAACATTGTTGGCACTGCCATCTTTCATATCAAAGTCATTTTGCAGTTCAAGCTGAGATATGGTCTAGATTTACAGGAAACAAATACAGAAAGGTACAAAAAGGTCACAAGTTGTACTTTCAGTGAATCACCTTTAACTCAGTGGGATATATATCAACAGTTGGATGGCCCGTAAATTACATGTGTCTGATGTCATATGAACTTAATCCTACCTGAGCTTTCATGTTAACCAAAGAGCTGGGTTTCCGCCTTCTTGACGTTTTGTCCTTATCTTGTTTCACTTTTTCCTTCTGTTCTTTGTCCAAGAACTTCTGCCTGGCCAGGATAAGTTTGCCAGGGTCCAGCCCAGTCTAGGTATACAAATACTATATAAACATCTACATGTCACATGAACACATGGCCAACCTTGCCTGACGGGAAAAGTGGCCATTTTGTCTTACCTTTTTGATGACTCTCTGGCGAAATATTTCCGCATTTGCAAAGTAGATTGGTGAGCAATAGTTAACTATTTTCACACCTGTTACTGATATGACCTGTGGAGTTGTTACAAAAAAATGAGATGCAATTTATCCTGTCATTTCTAATGGTAAAAAAAAATGATATATACTTAATATACCTTGCTGTATGTCTTTGGATTTCTGTAGATATCTGTATCCTTAATTTGAACAATTGTTGAACCATTGCGACTGTAAGGAAAACGTAGTTATAAAAAACTAAAACAGTAGAGCTCATTTTTGGTTCAAATGTACTACATGTTCATACAGTTTACTCACAACTGTGTCTTGAATATAACTACCAGGATGGAAAAACTCACTCCGACAGCAACACCATAAGGCAAGCTTAGAAAGAATGTGGCCAAGAATGACACAACCCACACACACTAAAAAAGAGACAATAAGACATGAAAAAAATATAGTAAAAAAAAAAAACATTGCATTATGCTTCAATATCATATCAAATGATTTAAATTACACAGTCCAGTTTGCTCTTCTTCCATAAGTAAAAGGGATCAGAGAGCTGTAGGAGCGTGTTCTTCAGGTTTACTGCGATCAACGCTCCAAGCACTGACTTGGAGAAACAAAGATAACTGGAGTTACTTAATATGTCTCAGTTGTTCTCTTACGTCTGTATGTTTTGTATGATATTTCAGGTTCACACTGTTATGTCCACTTACTTTTGGGAGTGGCTTTAGATAGATTCCCAGGGCGAGCATGGTGACCATTACTACTAGCATTACACACAGACTGGCAAACTACAAGAGAGCAGTAGTGCAGTAGTTAGGGGCTTTGGTAAACATTTGCTGTATTTATAGTCCATACTAAATCTTCCTCAGTAGGTTCTTAGTTATAATTTGAGTATGATCTGCACTCACTTGTGAGGTTCCTCCAGCACTGTCAACAGCCAGCGTTACAGACAGAGCACAGCAGATCACATGGATCTTAAAGAAAGATCCAAGGAAATTGCTGCAGCCTAGAGCCAACATTTCCTATTCAAAAAGACCGTTTCGGTGTTGACAAAAGTGAAATAAAATACACTTCTTACACTTTTAAGAGAGATGCAGTTTTTCAAACCTGGTTGGGATTCACATCATAGCCATGCTTAGCTGCCAGTGTCCTGCCCATAGCTAAGTTGATGACGTATCCGACAATAGCCAGAGAGAAAGCTGTGCTCAACATGTCTTCCCACTGACTCACTGTTGGGAGGATCGGTGCAGGAAATCTAGAAAACAGAGACATGAAACAAATCAGAGTTAAACATTCTTTAATGGCTTTTATGAATAACAGTAGGACAAAAAAGCTGATGTCTGCTTTACCCCAGAGGAATATTGCCCACAATGTCCATGTGGTAGATCTCAGGAAGATGCAGCGGACCTGAGATGGCTGTGGCCACCACCACCTGTGTAAAACAGGAACAGAAATCACGCTACATTCTATTATATACTGTTAATTCTCTTATGTGCCCCCAGAAAAACGTCTGTGCAACAGGTATCTCAAATATCTAAAAGAAAAAATTATTACTTACGACGATGATCTCAATAGGAATAGGGAAAGGAAGTTTATGACGAAAGTGGAAACCTAGTTCTTTCACCACAATCAAAACTGCACTGCTGACCAAAGCAAAGACTAAGGAGGCTATATTGGTATCAGGAAGGCCCAATATTATATCCTTGAGAGTCTGTTTGGAAAGAAATTATTTTCAGCAAATCATAATTTTGCAAAGTATCCGATCATATTTTTCTTTAATAATGAATGGGTAACTTACATATATAACAGCCAGCGGACCACTGTAAGATGGCACTGTGATGCCAAAGATGTACTTGAGCACTGAAATTAAGATTTGCAGTCCTGCAGCAGTCATGAAGCCTCTGACAAACGACTCTGACAGATAGATGGCTACAAACCCAAACTGCATGAAGCCAAGACCAATCTGTACAGACATAAATCATACTCAGTGTGCCACCTTTAAACTATATCCCATATTGCTTTCAGATTTTACCTTAAAGGACTGAGCTTTTAGATGTATAAGTACCTGTATGATTGCAGTGAGACAGGCCAAAGTACCAGATATAGCCAGACGAACTTCATTCATCCTGTCAGTGTCCACTACTGTGGCATTAAGAGTGGCATTGAAATGACTGAAATCCGACTCGGGGGCTAGCCTAAGACACACGATTCCCACCATAATGCTGAGAACAGCAAAAGTACCTAGACATAGAAAGTAGGGTGTCACATCTATTTTCCTTGCCATATTGCAAAGCGGGCAAAGTCAGGCTCAGTGCAGCACCATGCAGCTCTGGTAACTTATCACTGTCATCATAGAAAATTGCTGTAGATAAATCATTCTGATTTACCTGGGACCATCTGGTGAGCAGTGCCCATGAAGAAATATGGGATGAGGGGGAAGAAAGAGGAATAGAGACCATTGACAGGAGGAAGATTTGCAAGGAGAGCAAAAGCCATGCCTGGAAAGAAAAGAAGCTGTCAAATAAATAATAAAAAATAACACAAAAACTGTTATCCACTCCACCAGCTAGCATCAGTCAAAGGCTGTTATACAGAGTTATCTGAGAGTAGAAGATTGACTGACCTTGGGGAACCTGAATGGTGCCGGCGCTGACCCCACTGATGACATCACACAGCAGGTTTTCTTTTACTTTGTACTTGGGAAGCCAGCTTAGAACCGGCAGGTGTTTAAGTAACAAGCCTTTGAGCCTGGGTACAGAGCATCTAACACAAAAAAACAAAAAACTGTCTTAGAAGACCTCTGGTTTTCTGCTTGTTCATTTATAAAAGTCAATAACACACATGTAAACTTGAGTTCTAGTTATGTATCCCAGTGCTATTTGAATATAATACAGAGGCTTATCAGAAGAGTTTGTGAGAGAGAAAAGCACGTTGTTCATGTTGACTGTGCAGTAAGATTGCAGTTCGGTACCTGAAGAGTTTCTTTACTTTTTCTCCAACAGGGAACTGTCGACTCTTTTTGTCAAATTCTCTGTCAAAGTCAGGGAGGTTATATGCCGGCCTGTCAATCACATAACGTGGGCTTTCCTGTTGCATGGCTACAACATAGCAAAATATATTAAGCAGACAGAAATTTTATGCAATGTCTTCAAAGTGAAATTTAAGGAATTAAAATAGTCATAGTCATTTGGTGTCTTTTTTGTAAAAATTGTCATTAATTCATGAAAGTATCCATATCATGAAAACTCAACAGCATACCTCAAACATCATGGTATATTTTATACTTCATACTAAACCTGGCCCATACTTTAAGTGTAAGGTCCTTATCTAACCTTGATGAATGAAAGATCAGCCAAAACTTCACGGGACTAATAAAATGTTTGATCTACACTGGGTAAATAAAAGATCATGCACAAGTTTATTCAGTCCTCAGTAATCCTTTTCTCCATGCAGGAGAAAATCTTATGTTATTTTTCACCAGAAAGACAATACATTATGAATACACAGATACTTTTACTTTTTATATTGAACAGATGATCCAACAGCTGTCAGTTGTAATTGTTGTTACATTGTTATAAACTGTTAAACACTAAACAGGAAAAGAAGATTTTAAATAAATAAAGCTAAAAAGAGATATAACTGCATTAAGAAAATGAAATTAGATTTAGCATTTTTGTCTAATAAATAAATCTTCAATATGGCAATACTGTGTGAATAATATATCTTATCAATATCACAACCTAGGGATATTACATTACATCTCTTACATATAACCTGTTAATGTAAATAAGCGATTCCTAACAACTGGTGTATGCCTGTAGTGTGACTGATTGCAGCTGACTAAAATGCCGTGTGTAAAGGCAAACACAATTAGACAGATGTTAAAGCTCAACATAAAAAAAAGAAATGTTGTTGTACAATGTTAAATAAAAAACAGAAATTTTAAGACACTGTACTTACTTTTGCCTTGCTTACTCTTGAAGCACGTCTGCAGATGTTTGACTCAAATGAGACTTGTTTGATTACTTTTGAAGTAATGCTAAAGACCTTCTACACCTGCTGGGTGGAGCTTAAAGGGATAAAGCCTGGTGCATGCACGCTTACTGTGAAATACACTGCTCAAAAATTTAAAGAAACACTTTCAAACACATAATGAAATCATAAGGATGCCACATCATTTAATGAAAATTATCATTATCAAACCATAGATGGCTGAATTCAAAGACAACAAAAAAATCAAAGTGAAAAATTAATACAGCATGCAAGTCCATTATGCTGAATTTTCATTGTAGCAACTCAAAATTGTGTTCAGATGTATGTGAAGGCCCAAGATATGCATACATGACAATGTCAGGGGATGCTCCTAGTGAGACCATGGATGGTGTCTTCTGGGGATCTCCTCCCATATCTGGACCAGATGACTAAGCTACTGGGCAGTCTGAGGTAGCATCGAATGGACCAAAACATAATGTCCCAGAGCTGTTTTACTGGGTTTCGGCCAGGCGAGCATGGGGGGCAGTTAGCTGTTTCAGTTCCTTTATCTTTCAGGAACTGCCTGCATACTCCTGCCACATGAGGCCAAGCACTGCCTAGCCAGTAGAGGTCTGTCCGTCCCTCCACCATCAAACCAGTCACGCTGAACAATGTTACCGGAAGAATAATGTTCTCCATGGAATCTCCTGACCTTTTAACATCTGGTCTCATCTATAAAAAGTACAGGAACCAGCGCTGGACTTCCAATTCCGGTAATATTTGGCAATATACCAATCAGGCTCTACAGTGTCAGGCAGTGAGCACAGGGACCACTAGAGGGCGTTGGGCCTTCAAGCCACCCTCATGAAGCCTGTGCCTCATTGTTTGGTCTGAAACATACACACCAGTGGCCTGCTGGAGGTAATTTCATAATGCTGCAGCAGTGCTCATCCTGTTTCTCCTTGCACAAAGAATCAGATACCGGTCTTGCTAATGAGTTAAAGGCCTTCTACTACCCAGTCCAGCTCTCCTAGAGTAACTGCCTGTCTCTTACATTCTCCTCCATGCTTTGGAGACTTCCCTGACAAAGCGTTCTAGCAATGACACACACCGATGTGCTGTCCTGGGAGAGTTGGACTACCTGTGCCGACTCATGATACCAGTAATGACGCTGACTCTAGCAAAATGCAAAACCAGTGAAAAAAGTCATTAGAAGAGATGAGGAAGGAAAAAATGTCAGTGGCTTCCATCTATAAAAACATCCCTGTTTGAAGGCTTGTCTCATTGTTGAATTTCACTAAAACAAATTAAATAAAACTGATTAACAATCCCTCTGCTACTTAACTGATCACATCAATGTCCCAGAAATTTAACTGACTTGATGGTATACTCTGACTGAAGTGTTCCTTTAATTTATTGAGCAGTGTGGTTAAATTGGTTAAACTTCTGATTGCGGAATGCGCCGTTTCATCAGTGCGCTACCGAGCAAGGACACAAGATGTAATTACCAATAAATGTATTTTAATAGGTTCAGTTTCTATATACATGTAGCATCCTGATATTCATACTTAGCAACAGAAACACACAAACAAAAATACAACTTTACATATTTTATGGGAAAAGGGTAGACCTAAGATAGAGCTGGAACTAAACCAATTACAAACCAGTTTAATTTGGCGAATACAAGTAATCCTGCTAACTGCAACAAAATGATACATACAAACACCTTCTTTTCACAAAAAAGGGTGAGACAGACATGACAATGTGTAACACATGATTTTGTCCCATTGTATTAGAATTTGTGTGCAAAACAATGGCATCAATATCATAGACTAAAGTGCAATTATATAGTAGTTCCATTTGTTTTTTCTCTAAAAGAGGAATGCCAGACTTCAGATAACCTCTCGACATAAAATGAAAGTCTCCCTCTGGTGGAACAAAAAGAAAAGCACAAACGTCACATGAAGGCATCGCCTTCAAGAATGACAGAACAATCGAGCACTTCTTCCCTTCTTACAGAAGCATGAATGCTCTTAACATTTCACATGACAGAAAGCTTTCGATGAGAACACAGAACTTTATATCTGCAGCTAAATTTCCAAAAAACATAGTTCAACGAATAAATTGACAATGACAGAAATGTTATGAGAACCAGTCATTTTCCAAACAAAAACTGTGAAAAGCTGAGAGTACTGTTTGTGAATGGTGCCAACAGTAGTAAAATGCTGCAAGTACTGGTGATACGTGGCTACATGTAGCAACATGTACATGGACTTGTAGGGGAAAAAATATAAAGAAGTGAATGTATATATTTTTCATGAGTCGGTATAAAACCAATGCCGCAGAGGATTTTCATCAAAAAGTAGGATGCACATAAAACATATTTAACTTATCTAAGACAGACATTTGTATCTGTACACAGAAGTGAAGGTGAACAAGTTTCAGTTAAGTTTATATAAACAAAACGTTCTCGATAATGTTGCCATTTTTGTTAGTGCACTGCAACAGCTTGACCTTTGTAGTAATGCTTCACACATAATGTTTAGTCGTGATACTAAAATAACAAGCGCTAATAGCAATAGCAGAGTAGTGCAGCAGAATAAAGAACTTGGTATTGAACAGTGGTATTGGTATTGTCTAGCAAATCCTGGACTATAATGACTATAAAACACTTCTCAAACATTAACTCGGTGACTATCAGGAGATATGAGTATTCTGCAGTTGAGTGCTGACTGTTTGAGAGCTAATTTGGATGAAAACAATCACTCGCTGTCAAGCTAGTATAACTTTTAAGGTAAATGGTTTTAATTTTGGTTTCAATTTTATGGTTGAGTATTTTAACTTTCATTTGAAACACTAATCACTGGATTAAAAGCCTGTTATGGAGGGGATTTTCTGACTGTTTAAAAATGAAACAATCCAAAGCTGTAGCTGTTTAAAACCACCTGCACGTCTCAAATGTCCTCCACAAATTCATTCAAAAGCAGCTGACGTTTTCAGAGGTTTACAATTTCTACAGGACTGTAACAAGTAGGCCATTAAAAGTGGGAGAACAGGTTACTATGCAAATACAGAGCTTGTTAAGCAAGTGCAGCAAATGCAGCACCATGTGACAAAAGTCTGATGATTTTTTTTTAATCTAGCCATGTCTGCTTTTCCTCTTCTTTATTATAAAAGCTCATTGTCCATCTCCTGCTGGCAGCCTAAAACCCCTTAAGTCCACCAAAGTCTTTAAAATGAGTACTGACTAAAAATCACTAAGGATGCTGATGTCCGCAAACTCCTGGCGGTAATTGTAAGAGTAACAGGCCAAGAGGAAAGACCATTTGAGGGTCAGAAAGCTCCACACACAGGAGAGGTAGAAGCTCTTCGGGTCAGTGAAAGCTGTGGGACAGAAAAAACAAGGTGGTTACTACTAGAGTTACAACAATCCTCACCTCTCTGAGTACTTGAATTGTCAGTCACTAATTTTAACATAAATGAACAACAATACAAAATTCATAAAAATAAAAAATAAAAAAAAAACAGGAACAGAAAAGACAAGATTACATTGCTTCTGTGCGATGGCCATAGTTAGGAAGATAATAAAGGCAGCCACAGCCAAAACTGAGAAGAATACTCCAACAGCGATGAAGAATCTAAGACCCTTGAGCCAGGTTCGCCAGTAGTCCTGACGGTACATGATGTGTGTGATGAGAGCCCAGAGCGCTAAAACTCCTGTCAAGACAGAAAAACACAGATTTCGATTGAGTATGATAACACTGCAGCCTGAAGACTACAGAAAATCACCACGTGACAGTGATTTATGGAAATTACAGTGTTGTAATAGAATGTAATAGACTACTCCCATACAAAACAAGAAAAAACTACTATTTTAGAAATTTCTGCAAAAAATTTGTTTTAAAATAAAATTTACATGATATTCAGAAATGCAAGTAAATCACTTAAATTACTCAATTATTAAAGTTAATTAAAAAAAAAGAACAATACGGTTTTTCTTCTTGAAAGATAAATAATTATAATTTAGCATTAAAAATATCATTGCAAATTTAAAACAAAAATCATAATGTACCAATAATGCGTTGTATTTTATAAAGATTTCAGTGACGGACTAAATTTTAAGA